ACTGTCTTTGAAAGTATACCACCTTGAACTTACAAGTTTGAAACGAGGTCTGACAATAGTAGTTTTATCTTCTGCTTGCAGTCTGTACATTTTGCCATGTTTGCCTAAAACTTCATAATATTCTCTTGTATACTTTCTTCTATTTTTACGAACACGAACGTGAGTACCTGTCGAGTTCCCATTGTTGTCATAGTCAATAGTATTTTCATATGGGTCGCGTTTAGGTATTTCTATTTTTACTTTGTCACCTTTCTTAAGTTTGAAGCCTGGCATTCTTTCTTGTTTGTCTCTTTTGACTAAACTATTAAATATATAGTCTTTCTCTAAGTCGGGTTGTTTTTCATTTCTTCGGGGGAGTGGTTTCCCAAACCTTTTTGTTTACGGCTATTGTAAATATTTAAAACTTGTCTCATCTTTGCCATGGAGAAGTGTCTATATTGTCGTCATATGACATTTCATCTACCTCACCACCTTGTGGTTGGTTTAAGTCTCTTAAGATTTTTATACAACTGTCAATGACACCAAGAGCAGAATGGTTTTGGTCGACAATGAAATATTGGTTTACATTTTTTGAACGCAGATAGTTTTTAATATCGTCTGATTTGAAAGAACTTTCACAGTCAGATGTCAGTTTTGTTGGATGGTATTTGTCAACGAATATTGTCAAAGCAGTTTTCACATCTAAAATATTTTTGGACTGTAATGGTATGGCTTCACAGTATCTTGTGTTTTGACCGACAAATATTAGCCAGTATGGTGGTCCATCTTCTCTATACCTCGGAATGTTTTCCAAGATATCCATAAACCAAGCATTTGGTGTTGAACTAAAGATTTTTATCATGAGTGCTTTCTTTGTCGCTTTAGAAACATAGGGGTCCTTGTTTGGATTCGTCATTTTTTACCCTATAAGAAATGGGTTTATTTGGCGCATTAGCAGGAGTTGCATCCAGATTTTTGCCCGCAGTGGGAACAATAGCCAGAGGTGCATTTGGAATTGGAAGGAAGATTTTGAGTACATTAGGTATACTGAAAGAGAAAGCACAACCTATTATACAAACTGTACAGAAAGGTTGGGAGGTAGCACGAGATGCAGCAAATCTTATTCCAAATCCTGAAACAAGAGGAAAAGTTCAAGGATGGATGGACAATGTAGGAAGACAAGCAGGAAACTACTATAACAAAGCAAATGACTACTATAACCAAGCAGGGCACTATATGGACCAAGGTGAAAGATTCTTTAACAGAGGATATAACCATGCACAACAATGGGTAAACAACAACCAACCGCAACCGCCTCAAACGTGGGGAATGTAAATTTTTTACTGAGATGAAATGAACAATACAGCATTGAGACAAATGGGTTCAAGATGGATTTGTCGACTTCCAGCAGTTACACAACCACGTGTTTGTCAAGTTCTTCCTATACCTCAGGAAGTTTTAGACCGACTTAAAAAACCTAAACAACCAGTTGAAAACAAACCAAACTAAAATTTTTTACTGAGATGAAATGACCGAAGAAGTTGAAACGGTAGATTTGACACCACAAACAAAAAGTTCAGAACCATTGTCAAAACCTGTCAAAGAACTTACAGATGAAGAGAAAAATTCAATAATAGAAAGTGCCAGGTCTGGAAATACAAACCCTAACTATAAAGTCACTTTTCATAGAAATGGAACGGCTAGTATCTCAAAAAAGAAACAGACTCTCACAAATAAAATATTGAAGTCTGAAGGAGCTTTCGAGACAACAGATGGAAAAGTTTACTTCACTGACCAACAGTTCATTATAGAACATCTCATTGACTTAGAGTCGAAATATTCTAAACTTTACAACAAACACAAAAAGTTGAAAGGAAAACAAAAACAAATGGCATATGATATTTATGAAGATGTTGACGAACAACTCCTGCAAGTGAGTAAAGTCAGAGGAACCGAAAAGTGACGAAAAACCGATAGAAGAAGGTGAGCCAAAAACTGAAGATAAACCAAAACCAAAGTTAGTTTCCAAACTAAACCAAGTCAACCTTCATTAGCTGGTATGGGTTGGCGTCAAAGACTTATGGCAGCAGGCGGTTATGTAAAGTAAAGAAAAAAAATTTTTTTTTTTATAAAAATGCCCCCGTATAGAATGGATAGAAGGTCTGCTAGAATAAAAGCAGAGTTAGAAAGATATGGTTGGAAAGTTTCAAAGAAGTTTAAATATAGGAAGGGAAGACCCATAAAAGTCTATGACAAACTGGCTGGTCTGACTATGAAATGGACTTGGAAACAGCACGCGCAAATTATCCAAACAGACTAGAGAGGTTAGAAGAAGAACGTCTTATGGACATGCCTTTCGATGTTAGTGAGCCTCAAGTTGAAGGACACGACGGCTTTGCCAGATTCTACTGGAAACATGACGAACAATTGCATCCTTTGAGAAGGAAAAAAGGAAAAGGTGAAGACGCACATGCTCCCATGGAAAGAACAAGATATGCATATGAAAAGTATCGTGAAGTTAGAAGTCAAATTACATCTGGTCGAACCTTTACAGTAAACTTTGACGAAGGAAAGAACAAAGAAGGCTTCATGGGTGTACTTGCTGCAATTCAAGACGGAAATAAGAAAGGATACAATCTCAGACTAACCGTAACAGATTTGGATGGTCACATTTACTATGCACATGGCAATGTCACAACAGCCGCAAACTTCTTGACGCTTTCAAGACTACAAAGAGAGAACAAATGGTTGACTCCGACTCAGACATTTTGAATGCAATTGAAGGAATTGCAAGTGTAAGTTCGAATGGTACCAACCTAACCCTCAAGCAGTCAGACAACAT